TCCCACCCAAACCATCCCGTGAGTCACGCACAGCCAGCCAGGTCTGTGCAGTGGCTCCTTGGCAGGTCTGAGGCGAGATGTGTAAGTCGTGGTTTCCGTCTCTGGCTCTGCTGTGGATTCACCGTCGGGTCTCTCTGACGGCACGTTCTGTGCTGGAACCGGCCGCTGCTGAAGAGGCCACAGCCCTGGCTTTCACTGCATCACGTACCCGCCACGCCTTGCATTGCTTCGCTGAACCTGCTTGTCGTTCTTCCTATCCGTCCATCCAACTCCTGCTTTTCCTCTCCTCTTCCCTCTTTCCCAGGCTTCACCCTAAGAACTGCCTGGGCGTGCGGCAGTTTGCGGAGACGATGATGTGCGCGGTGCTCTACGACGCCGCCAACAGCTTCATTCACCAGCACTTCGTGGAGGTGTCCATGTCCGAAGAGTTCCTGGCGCTGCCGTTTGAAGACGTCCTGGAGCTCGTTTCCAGGGATGAGCTCAACGTGAAGTCTGAGGAGCAGGTACGTGCCTGCTACGGGTCTCAGCAGAAGCAGTTTTTCCTTTGGAGGGGTGTTAGTTGCTTGGGAATGGAATGGGATAAGACCTTATTCCTGAGCTGAGTGTGTGTCCTGGCACATTGGGGACACCAAGAAGTGCCTGACAGAGCTGTGACAACTCCCTGCGCCCCTTGTCTGTGCTGCCCACTTGACCTTGCTGGGAGAAATGCCCGGTAGAGTTTCTTGCGCTATAAATTTTGAAAAACATTTGTTTTGAGGTGTTTTGCTTCCTCGGTGGCAGAGGTGGAACCTGAGGACCTGCAGCTGGGTCCCCTCCTGCTGGTCCTGGGGAAGAGAGGCTGAGGGTGTGGGCAGGAGCGGGGAGCCCTTCCTCACAGAGCTCACGTTCAGGTCCGGAGGAGTGATTTTTGAGGTGTGACAGACTTGCTGCGAGCGCTGCAGCGTTTTCTAACCAATATTCCACTGAATTTGCCATGCAGAGGCTCCTCTAGACTGGCTTGTTCCTACAAAAGCAGAGAAAGCAGGCCTGAGCGACCTTAGGACTAGCCTTGAGCAAGCTTAGGAGGTTTCAACAGCCTCGAAAATCAATCAGCGCTGGGCTGACAGTCTGCAGGAGCAGTACAATTTGTCCTCGAGCCAGGAAATCTGTCCTGCTCTCTCCGAGGAGGTGACAAACGAAAAGCAGGCCCACGGCTATCCCCGTGTAGGGTGAGAGCGCGTCGTTAATCAGGCTCTCTGAAATGGGAAGGGAGCCTGCTTCACATCCCAGCCACCTGCTTACATGCCACCACAAACCTCTCTTGCTGGCCTTTTCCAAGCGGATCCTTTGTGGAGGAGGGAGGAGTCAAGGAGTCCGTCCCTGGTGATGTTCCCTCGTGCTGTGACAGCTGCCAGCCCCCTCTTCAGAAATGGCAGGATTTTGGTGCAGTGCAGCCTATTTGCTGGTCATAAAGCACCTTGTAGGGTGGAATTAGGGGGTTTGGGGGGGTTTAAGCTCACTGTGGTGCTGTTGACGGAGTATGTTAGCATGGAAAGGCTGTCTTGGGCAATGTGAGACGCTCCGGATCTCCCCTGTGAAAGACTTGGGGAGGGTGGGAGCACTGGGACAGGTTTCCCAGAGATGTGGTTGATGGAGTATGTTCGCATGGGAAGGCAGGGGTGGGGCAATGTGAGATGCTCCGGATCTCCCCTGTGAAAGACTTGGGGAGGGTGGGAGCACTGGGACAGGTTCCCAGAGAAGCTGTGGATGCCCCATCCCTGGGAGTGTCCAAGGCCAGGCTGGATGAGGCTTGGAGCAACCTGGGCTATGGAAGGTGTCCCTGCCCTTGGCAAGGGGTGGGACCAGGTGTACTTTAAGGTCCCTTCCCAACCCAAACCCCGTTCCATGAGTCTGAGCATCCCATGACTCGAGGAGTAGATGTCTCTGATTAAACCAGTCACCAGGCTCCCATTGTGATCTGGAGCCATCCCGATCCGGGCAGGACTGTGCTTTGCGGAGATCTGCTTCTCCGGTGGCTGCAGAGGGAGCCAGAGACACCAGTTCAGCTCTGCCATGTCGCTACCACGGTGGATCCCTCTCATCACAACAGTCTTCTGGCTTTCACGGAGCAGCACTGCGCTCTTTTTTCCTCCCAGTTTGCCAATTTTTTTTTTTTGACACTGCATAAACAAGGTTTTGCGTTCTGTCCCACCTCCTTTACCAAAATTCCCTCCCCAGCTCCCTCACCTCCCTGCAAACCTTTGTACCAAACGTACCGTCCCGCGGGACGATAGGTCGGTGTTATACAAATGCTGAGCGTCGCCATTCGGTCCCAAAACTGAGATCAGGGGAAGATCGTCATCCATACGGGGTTTCTCTTCCATTGTGCAACGGGAGCAGTAGGAATTTGCCCCAAAAAAACCCCACCGACCCCAAAATTCCAACCTCCCGTGCCCTTTCCGCAGGTATTTGAAGCCGCGTTAGCCTGGATACGGTACGACCGAAGCCAGAGGGAGTCCTTCCTCCCCGAGCTCCTCTCCAAAATCCGTCTGCCCCTTTGTCGACCTCAGTTTCTCACTGACCGCGTCCAGCAAGATGACCTGGTCCGTTGCTGCCACAAATGCAGGTGAGGCTTGGACACAGAGTAAGGAAACCATCCCGGGAATGGTGGCCCTTGGCGCGGCAGAGGTAGCAGGAACGGGCTTTGGCAGTCTCGGAGCGTGAAATTCTCTCTCTCTGCAGACAGAGCACCTCACGCAGCAAAACCAAAGCACCCGCCCTGATTTTAACCCCGCGGCAGGGCCGCCTCGCCTTCCGGAAGGGTTGGGGGGGGAGAGTCAGCTGCTTAAACCTTCACCTGACATAAGACAGTCAGTATGTGACATATATAAGTCTTATGTATCCAGAGAAGTGTGGCCAGGGGGGCGAGGGAGGGGATTCTGCCCCTGTACTCTGCTCTGGTGAGACACCACCTGGAGTGCTGCGTCCCGCTGTGGAGACCCCAACA